ATATACTGACCCCCCATCCCGGGGATACCCCCAAATACAGCGACACCATCCCTACCATTTATATCTCATATACTGACCCCCCATCCCGGGGATACCCCCAAATACAGCGACACCATCCCTACCATTTATATCTCATATACTGACCCCCCATCCCGGGGATACCCCCAAATACAGCGACACCATCCCTACCATTTATATCTCATATACTGACCCCCCATCCCGGGGATACCCCCAAATACAGCGACACCATCCCTACCATTTATATCTCATATACTGACCCCCCATCCCGGGGATACCCCCAAATACAGCGACACCATCCCTACCATTTATATCTCATATACTGACCCCCCATCCCGGGGATACCCCCAAATACAGCGACACCATCCCTACCATTTATATACTGACCCCCCATCCCGGGGATACCCCCAAATACAGCGACACCATCCCTACCATTTATATCTCATATACATCATGTATCGGGCCCCTTATCATGTATTGGTCTGTTATCATGTATTGGGCCCCTCATCATGTACTGGGCCCTTTATCATGTATCGGGCCCCTTATCATGTATCGGGCCCCTCATCATGTATCGGGCCCCTCATCATGTATCGGGCCCCTCATCATGTATCGGGCCCCTCATCATGTATCGGGCCCCTTATCATGTATCGGGCCCCTTTATCATGTATCGGGCCCCTTATCATGTATCGGGCCCCTTATCATGTATCGGGCCCCTATATCATGTATCGGGCCCCTTATCATGTATCGGGCCCTTTATAATATATTGGGTTGTTATCATGTATCGGGCCCCTTATCATGTATCGGGCCCCTTATCATGTATTGGGCCCCTTATCATGTATCGGGCCCCTCATCATGTACTGGGCCCTTTATCATGTATCGGGCCCCTCATCATGTATCGGGCCCCTCATCATGTATCGGGCCCCTCATCATGTATCGGGCCCCTCATCATGTATCGGGCCCCTTATCATGTATCGGGCCCCTT